TACATGCAAAATATTTGTTTTATTATATTTAAAGAAGGTAAATATAAAAGATTAATCTGGTAAGCTGGGTAATCGGACACAGACAGGTTATTGGACCAACCGGAGATTGATAACATTTTATTAATAATTCAAACAAGTCTTTAAGGACCGATTCTACCGCATAACAGAAAAATGTTAAGGACCGATGCTACTGCATAACAGAAAAATGTTATGGCAAGACCATGCTATGAAGAACTTTTCATACAGAATATTGACAGAGCCATCAGGTCAGTGTGCAGTCAGACGTATTTCTTATATTTTCACATAGAAAACCTAACCTAAAAACCGCACAAATTTCAAAAAAACGATCTTAGATAAACAGGGTATTTCTGACACTGCTTCATAACATACGAGTGACGTTGCAGTTTATGTGTAAAACTGCCTCAATACACAGGAAATACATGCATAATGTATGGAAGTCGGAGCGAGAATTTTTCAATATTTTATGTTAAATTATTATATATGAGTATTTATTCTATCATCTTCCTGATGGATGTATGCCCCAAGAGTAATGCATTCATTCCTGTAGGATGGATTACTTTCAATTAACGAAGTAGTTAATAGTGGATAAAAATAATTTAGTCAATTAGTACATAGCCAGGTTATTTTTTTATCAAGGTGCCTACTACCCTCCATATTGCATTTTGTATAATTTATATCAGGAAAAATTAATATCGGTGGTGCACAATATTGACATTCATACAAAGTTGAACAATACCATAAACGTTTCCAATGTTAAATTAAATTTAATATAATATTTTTTAAATAAATTGCTTACCTGAAATACTTGCTCCATCTTTTATACTTATTCGATTCTCTTTCCAAAATTCTGTATTACAACCGGACAGTGTTCGAGTGGTAATATCGCGTTCGATTTTTAAATCGCCTGCGAAAACCACATCTTTTTCAAAGACCACAGGACAAGTTATTTTGATTCTCTATCAATAAAAACCAAGTCCTCAACAAAATTATTTAAATTTATTGAATTTATCGTACCCGTTCTCAAAGCATTTTCGAAAAATACATCATTCTCGAAATTTAAAGGATGTTCAATAGGTGCAGTGTTATCGGTTGTTAGAATCAATCTTGGCAGAAAATTATGCAAAATTTACTCCGTTAACGTTGTCTAATAGCAAGGAATCTATGAATGTAAGATTTTGGAATACTGCATCGCCATGAATAACATGAAAAGTATCTTCATAGGAATACCGATTTTTCAATTCTTCTATGGATACACCGTTAAAATATTCGGTACATTCTGCATTATCCATGACAACATCTCCATGAATAATAAATTCAGTCTCGATACTTTGTTCGTTATTTTTAGTCAAAATATTTTCTATCCTTATATTATTAATTTTGTTTACTATAACGGAGTCAGTTACCAAATCTGAAGTGAATGTTTAGTTGCATGTATACTTATATCATCACTAGCCGTTACGAGGTCTTTAGCAAAAGCGTTAAAATCGTATCCATTCACTAATCCTTTCACTATAACTTCAGGAGCATCAAATCCGTCCATAAAATGCAAGTTGCTGTAAACCAAATTTTCTTCATTCAACCAAATAGCATTATCAACGATATCTTTGAAGTTGTATCCATTAATATTGTCCGTTGTAATTTCTCCATCAACAATCAGCTCATAAATTTCAGAATAATCTAAATTCAATGTTTGAGTAACATTACGTCTTTTGCGTAAATAAATTTCCGGAGGAATCACGTTTATGTTCGAGCTGGTAGCATTATTCGCGTTTACAAAATCCACATGATAATCAGCTGTTATATATTGAGGTTTTGTTAGACTTAAACACTTTTCTTGAGTTGACTTCAAATTTTGTCCACATAAACTTTTGCTTTCAACTAATAAATTATCCACATATAAAGTTTCTACGATCAGTTTATCAAACTCAGCATCAGAATTTATATAGACCGGTTGATCTATGGTAATAAGATCATCTACTGGTTTTTCCAGTAAATTATTTATATTAATATTTTCAAAATGTACTTTACCGTTAAATGTAATATCAGAAGATATATACTGGTCTCCTTGTAATTTTACAGTACTAATAAATAAATCTGTCAAATTTACCTGGTCAACAAAACCAGTTAAGGTTAAATCTTGAAAACTGATATCTCCATGTAAATTTTGAACTGTCAGGATTTGCTCAGTGTTTTTAGTCAATATGTCGACAGTATCTATTCCGTTGATACGATTTGATGTTAACTCGAGATTATCTCTAATATTCAATGTGTTCTCAAAATACTTATATCCGTGAATGATGGCTTCATCTTCGTAATTGTAAACGACGTCGTTTAAGATACTAGCCAAATTGGTGTCATTGATATTTTGAACATATATAGGACCCTGTACTGCAAGTTGTTTAAATATCACATTTGAATGTATTATGTTAGTATCCTTCAGAGTGGGATTTGCTGTAAAGTTGTCCAAATATTTTCCAGTGAGCGATCCACCAACCTAAGAAAATAATTATGATTAATATTATAGGTTTTGTTTTTATTATTTAGTGATTTATTATGAATATTATGAAAACTGTATGCCTTGGATCAAGATAATATAGGACTAGTGAAAGGTTTATCTAGTTTGCTAATAATACTCAAAATCTCGAATTACTAAGAAAATCAAATTTATAAGAAGTCACCAACTAAATAGAAATAACTAATTAAAAATTATTTACTGAGATATTGATTTGATTTCATAATACTTCATCAATACGAACTACTTGTCTACTTACATGTAATCCTTCGGTCACTTTCAAATTTTCAAAAGTGATTAAACCTTTTATATTTTGCTCTCCTTGCAAAGTGATAACATCTTCAGTATTTACACCATTTACTAAACCTGGGCAATCTAAGTTTTTAATATTTAGCTGCTTGAACACTTTTTGGCCAGTAATGAAATGAGATTCCGGATTAAATCCAGAAATGTCAATCTCAGGATTCGTCGAATTGTAGTTGTACTTGGACCTCGAACCTCTTTCAGCAAAAATACCTAGTTTTACAGAATCCATATAATTGTCTTGTGCATTCGGTACTATTACGAATGGTCTTGGAGGAATTTGGACATTGATAAAGTCATCGTTATTCTCGTTAGATTTACCAAGTAGCACAAAATCCGATGGAAAAGATAAATCGTTTATGATTGGCATATGTAAAAGGCACGGTTCTGAACAGATGATATCCTGAAAGTGAAAATTTAGTACACGCTAAACTTTGAAATTATATACTGTCTAGTATAATTGACTACAAATTAGAATATAACCGAAGAACATCTCGGAACACTTTGCTATCAATTAGAATACTATTTTACTAGATACAGATATTTTGAAATTAATAATAATATTAGATGCATAATAATGATTATTATTATACTTACTCCAATTACAACCATTTTATTGTTCAAGCTTCTTGGAGAATTTTTCCACACAACTTTGGATATAAACTTCTTCCAACTCATTCCATTAATACTCTCAATTACTGTATCACCCAAAACTCGAATTTCTTTGACATCATTAATATCTCGTTGTTGTCTAGCGTTAGTAGCATCAGAAAGTTCATTTTCATCAATGATAAAACCATTAAGTTTCCTAACTTTGAAATCAGTTAATACATCAATTGCATCTAAAGATAAGCGATTTATTTTGTGATCGGCTCTAAGTAAATTGCCAAATTTGATTTCATTGATAGTGCCGCCGCTTTTTACATACACATGATCAAACTGAATTTCATTGAAAAAATTCAAGTTTCCTTGGACTATCGTCTCGGGCGATTTATATAAAATATTAGAAACAGGGTAGTTGTTTATAAAGTCAACAAACAAGTTATCAACATACACTTTATCAAACTGAGTATTTCCATTGTATTGAATAGTTTGCTTATCGTATATTAGCCTGTGAAACAAATCATTAAATGATTCTCCATTGATGTCACCAACACACAAAGATTCCGCCTTCCATCCACCTTCAATTCTCAACTCGCCATTGATTGTTAAATTTTGTGCCAACTGAACTTTTAAATCTTTTTTCTTAACACCATCTTTCATTAGAAATGGCATGTCCAAAACAGATGCAAGAATTCTGTCCGATTCTTCAACTAAAGTAGGTATATGTATGTTTGTGTCTTCTTTCGTGAATTTGATATTAGCCATACCCAAGAATCCATCTACCCATTGCATTTCATTGTTTTCCTCTCTATATACAGGTGTTTCTATTTCCCTCACAAACCACTCAGTTTTCACCAATGCATCTCCATAGTTATTTAGAGAGTTTTCTAAGGCAGTTTTCGCTTCAATTATTATTTGTGATTGGTGTTTGAAATTATCTTCTAATGTATTTCTAATTTTGTACAGATGATTTAATTCTTCCCGCCTTGGGTCAATGGTTTGCACCAATCTTGTATTAATTTCATAAACTTCTGAATGCATTGATGATCTTGGAGTTATAATATGCAATCGTCTTCCGTGATTTATTGCAACGGATCCAATGAGTCCAGTTTCTGTTTCTATGTCTAACAAACATTGGTATCCATAACTGAAAAAAAGTTAACATAGGATTAATAAAAATAAATTTAACAAAAATATTAACACTGGAACGGTATTGTGCTTTTCAGCGCGGTGATGGAATCTATATGCTTCCTAGTCGTGTGCCCTTATTAATGCATTTTAGAACTTAACAAGTGATTTGTTTCTGTTTTTTGTCATTGTATACTTTGGGATATTATCAAAGGTTATTTCAGGAAATATAAAACTTTGGTTTAATAATAGTCTTTTTATTTTTACAAAATTTCTAAGTACCATCACCATTCATTCTTGTCTAAATGTACGCCTCGGAGGCGTGCAGATACCGTTCTAGGGTCAAGAGTAAACTAACTATTTGGTAAATTTAAACAAAAAATAATAGCTAATCATAATAAAAAAGACTATACATGTTTTTTTACCTTATATGACCATGATCATCGCAGACCTCATGTGAATGGGTTACAAAACCATTTTCAGTCCAAATCAATGCTTCTACATGCACTGAAGAATGCGAATCGTGATCAATTTCATGTTGTACCAGAACTATTAGATCGTCTCTATAGTTTTTAACGTGAATAGGTAAATAAAATTGAACGTTGTCAAAAGTAGAATCTAAAATAGCTTCAATGTGTATTCCAGAGATGTCTACTCGGTATAGTGCATGATCCAGGCCTCCTACGCCTAAGAAACTTTTTGTGGCCGACGCTAAAATGACGATAAAATAAATGTAATCTTAAAATATCATTGATGATTTCAAAACAAAAATTAATTGTTGGGATTTAATTCATCGTCAACTGATGTAACATTGTCGTTAATGCACCATATTTCAGATTTATCATATGTTGCTTCAAGCTTCAAGTCATAAAATCAATCTTGGATTAAAATTAAACTTTAGGTTCAAACATTTTACAGAATTGTTCTTATTTTATAAATTATCACATTTTCATCTGTCTTACTAATATTCATGACAACTAAATATAATAATAAACAAATATTGTTAATATTTGTTCATTTAACTTACCTGAAAGCGCTGACAAAATTCACTCCTGAGCTTTCTATGTTTTGATATGGCAAAAATCTTCCATCAACAAATTTATAAATGATGACAATATTGTTTTGTTCCTGTGCAATTAATTATAGTTTTATTAAAAATAGTAGTTAAAGAATATGCATGTTACTTCATTTAGAAAATCTATAAATTATAAGACCTTTACAATTTAGGGATTTTAAACCTTTTATAATTACATGATTATAAGTAAGATGTCCAATATTTATCCAAAAATCGTTTAAGAATTTTTAAATTAGGAATCCTTATCCTTTTTTTATATTAGGAATCCTTATTAAATTAGCCGTAGTATTTATGGTAAATTTTGAATAATTAATTTTTTTTTAATTTTTAGATATTTATGTATATTTTTATTTTCAACTTCGAATTTAAAAGAAAATCTCAAATTTTAAGGCTCCCAAAAAATAAAATCAAACATGTATTACATGTAACACATCTCGATTTATTTTCATTTCATTCACTTTGGTTCTTGTAAAAACGGTTATTATGATTTTTTTTAATGTATAATGTTATTGGCCTCAATTATATCACTATTATTACCTGTGGAATAGCTAAATATATTAAATCTGCCACGAAATTAAAAGCTGCAACATTAGCTTCACATTCCAGAAATATGCGTTGTCTCAGCCAAAATTGTTTACGATCAATTGAAAATTCGTAAAGATGTGCCGTAAATTCACCATTACCAAAATCTTCCAAAGTAAACAAATGATCCGTTTTTTGAATCTGTATAAATTTCATAAATCTTATAGTAGAATGCAATAGCCATTGCCATATCTCCACCAACTGCTCTCCAGGCGAAATTTTATACCACAAGATTTGATTATCTAAAGAAACAAGTGCAACTGATTGCACGGAAGATTCAAATCTCAATCGAAAGATGTCAAATGAACTGGGATTTTCTCGAATTGGTATCGAATGCAACATTTTATACTCTATATAACCATTTGTAAGACGAGTTCTTAATAAGATCACTTCCGATGCACTAATCCCAACTAAATAGTTTTGATGCCACAAACTGATACTTTTCCAGGAGTGAACGCCATCTCCTAAAGCAACATCGGCAATACCAGTGATATTGATTATTTCAAGTTCTGTAAAAAAATGTTTCACTTTTGTAATTACGCCAAATACCTTTCAAGAAAAATTGTTGATTTAATAATGTGACTAATTGTTTTAATTTAAAATTTTGGTTAGCAAAGTTATATCAAAAATAAATTTAAAACTAATGGTAGAAAAAATAACAATACCTTCACGATTAGTTCGAGACACATCGGCCTCTGGGTACGACGACTTCCATATTAACCTTTGAGCAATATCATCCAAACTTGCATGAATATCACTGCGTAATTCACTAATCTCCTGATTATCATCAATTATTCGATCTGATCTGTCATTAGAAGTGTGCAGTACATAGGGCTTATCACTACTTCGTAAATTATGATTTTCCATTGAAGGATTAGATTCAGAAACGTATTGAGTTGTTAAATCCTGTTCATTTGGCTGTTCATCTTTATAATCTTTCTCAGTTGCAATCTTAGTGTTTATCAAATTATTTTCAATTGGTTTTGCAATATCACTGTCTGCTGGTTGCCCTTTAACCACTTGCTGAGGGCTTGTATGGTAATCGTCTACAACTGTCATAGCTTTAATTCCAAGAATTTGATTTTTGGTGTCAAAATTATCATCGTCTTTAATCATATTATCAATCGGTATAATGTTTGATGCAGAACCATTAGAATTGAATGCAGAATTAAAAAATTGACCGATACCCATGTTATCAGTGTAGTCTTCATCATCCAAATATACATGGGCAGTTGGTTTGTCAGGGTAAGTTTTGTTGTAAACCACATTGTTTTGCCTGAATTCATTATCGTTATCAGAACTTGTTGAAGAATTAGTCATATGTTTATTAGCCTTCAAAGATTTGACGTCACCGACTATGATGTTCGAATTATTTTGCAACAGCTGATCAATTTCCGATTCGTATTGAGCAGTGCTTTTATTCCCTCGGTTTTCATAAAAGTCATCAATGGTTACATTATTTACAGATAAAAAGGCTTGGGCTTTACTTTTGATGCCAGTCTCTAAATTGGAATTGTTCTCCCTAATTAACGTTGGTGCTTCAGAACTGTCTTTTGCAATCACTTCAGAATTATAACTCATCGACTTTTCTACAGTACCTTCTGATATCACAGGATCACCACCAAAGTTATTAGCTTCAAAATTCCTATTGTTTTCATTTAAGTTTATATTTTGAGTATTGTCATCATTATTCTTTGCATTGCTGACCACATATTTTGATTCTTTAAAAACATCTTTATCCTCAGCCACTTCAAGCAATGGTTTTAATTCCGCATCAGAATTTTCAAATGGTGATATGGATTGCATTGCTTTATATCGGTAATATCGATCCAAATCTGTTGTTTCTGGAATAACATCTTTCAATGAAACAGGGTTTATATAACTCTCTTTTGGTTTATCACTAAAACCTGGCTCATTGTTAACACCAATTGTATTTACATCATCATTTTGAACGGAGGTCTAAAAATATAAAAACATGTAAAATATGCGAAATTATAATAAGTTATTTATAAACTGTATAATATTATTTAGTTTATCATTAAAATACTACATCATGGAGAACAGCATAATTTATTATTTTAATAAACAAATTGTCTATTTGTAATGGAAAAAACCATAACCATACGATAAAGTCGATGTAAGAAGTAGTTTCAGAAACATTCATTAATTTATGAATACGAAAAATTATACGATATGGTGACTAATGTTAATATGCGAATATTATTTAAGCTTAAATATTATTAGGTTTTTAGCATTGCATTCTAAAAAATAAAATTTAACCGATTTAACCAATAACCGAAACTATATATAACACTGCCACAATTCGCAACTACAAGCAAGACTAGAACCCGGTGAATAAAATAACAAATTAGGTGTAAGTGGCATTTTGCCTTAAAGCCAAAAAATATGCACTTTTAATAAATTTGCAGTAAACGAGCTTCAAAAAGTTTTACTTCAATAAAATATACATTGTGTTTTGTATTGCTTGTGGGGTATCGGTTAAAAGGTCTCGACGTGTAGAAAACGGTTTTCACAAAAAAGGCCATATTGTAATAAAATCGTAAATATTTTATTGCAGAAACATATTAGAATGCGAGATTTTTTTCAAATATATGTGATTTGTTAAAATAAAATTAACTATGATTGTCCACAAAATGTACCATTTTTACGAATTTGTAGCAAAGTAGTCTAAAGAAGCTTAATAATAATAAAATCATAAATAAACGCAAATATAGTGCGTTTACATTTTGCTCAAATACTGCAATAATTTTATAATAATATAATATAACAAACACAAGTACTTTCTGTAACTTCATTTATATCATAAAATTAAAATAATAATAATAAATATAGATAAAAGACGTAATAAATAATTATATAAAAATAATAGTGAAATATTATTTTTATATAATTTTTTATTACGTATTTTATCTTATATTATTCATATAATATAATACTACATTTATTATTATGATTTAAATAAACATAAAAGTAAATTTCACATAAAAGTAAATTAAGTTATTAAATTTATTAAACTTGATATTTATATCATCTTATATTATTGATGATATTCACATTATATTATTTTAAATATAACAATACTAATCTTCCTTGATTTGGTTGAGCAGTATGGTAAAATAGTGAGAATAATAATTATTAAAATATAGCAAATGTATGCTGACTACTCGTGGATAGGATGAAAATTTCACATTTTTCTTAAAAACTATTTAACATGAAAGGTCAATATATGTACAACTGATTGTAAGAAAATATTATATCAATGGTATATTGGCGAGGTAGTATTTAAAAACCACTTTTTTATCGAAGTACGCTAGATCATTGGAATTCAACTTATATAAATTATATACCCTTTGTGAAGTTTTTGATAATTTGTATGATTTGACGTATTTCAATGCTCGATCCTATAGTACGATTTAATGTTATATATAAAATGGCACCATCCAAACGAACTGATTTCAAGTCTTTACAACACCACACATAATATAAGATTAAAAAGAATACAATTAATAGATCTAACACATTAATCAATAATAAGTTGTTCTACAATATTATTTAAAATAGGTGTGTGTATGTATGTGTATATGTGTCTGTGTAATGTACTTTGTTTATGATTGTATGTATATTTGAGTTTCTTTTTTTTTCTTTATTATACGAAAATTAAAATATAATTTAGTACACTAATAAAAGGTTTAATCACTGGGTTTTCCTTTTAAAATTTAATATGTTATTTGTCGAACTAATTACTCAATGTCTTTCTATTTAGACAGATTGTAATTTATAAGAAAATAAATAAATAATATATATATATATATATATATATATATAATGGCATTCAACTCACCTTGTGCAATTCGGCCGCATTGCAAGAACACAATAATAAACACAATGTAAATAAAATATTTCCAGCAGTCCCTAACATTTCGAAGTTCTGCACGATCAGAATAAATCTTCCTAAAACATTTTCTTCCTGAACGGAAGGCCACTACTACAGTCTACAAATATGAGGATTCATAATAAAATTATGCCTCGCAAAAATTATGTAACATCAAAATCAGTTGCAACAACCTTAAATAGAAAGATTAAAATGAAGACATATATCGATAACATATCGAGTATTGAGTTGATTTATATCAACTCAAATTCTTCAATATCTAAAAATTAATATATTAATTTTGAGTGATTTTTTCTGTTCTTATTAATGAACGTCATATTTTAGCCTTGTTTAAGTAATATTTTGTGCTTTGGCTTTTGGCTAAAACCATTGTCAGAACAAAATGTTCTATTGAGTAATTAAACATATTTTTCTTTCCTCACATTTTAGTACATAGAAATCCTTTATTACTTTCGGATAAAACATTTTTATTATTTATATATTTTTTCAAAATAATCTGTTATTAACTTCCCGTGGAGTTATCGCAAAAAAATCGAAAATGTAAATGTTTTTATATCTTCAAAGGTTTCTGAACATTTTGGCATACCTTAAAAAAATGTATGTGTGTGTATGTGTGTGTGTACGGATACAAACTTTCGTCGACGATTTTGGGAACACGAGTCAACTGATTATTTGTAGTGACGAAATAAAGAACTGATGAAGTTTTTGGGAAGACAGGTCTAGCGTTGTCGGAGATCCAATAAAACAAGTGAAAAAACGCCATTGGCGAACAAAAATGATCATTAGACATATACACATCAAATTATCACATATTTTATAGATATTTTAATAATAATAACAAATTTTATTCACTTTTCTACGGGTTCCGTACCAATGTTTATCCGTTATACTGCGACGCGGCGCCCACGCGCTTCCATATGTCGTTTCTACGCAGCTAACATATCGCGATTGCTTTGAAAAAAAGTTCAAAATTTTTTAAGAATAAAAAAGAACTAAATTTTCAAAAAGATCAATTTTATTCAAAATTTTTAACAATCTCAAAAATCGAGTTTTTCAGAGTTCTAAAAGAAAATTGAATGATTTTTAAAAAATATAATTTTTGGTAAAGAAAGTTTCATTCAGCAATTAGTTGATTTTCAAAAGTCAGCCCTTGGACAAATGTTTTTCGAATAATTCAATTCGGTTGATCTATGCGAACCGAAATCGGACAAAAAATTGTATCCGCACAAAACACACACACATCATTTTTTCTGGGGTATGCCAAAATGTTCAGAATCATCTGAAACGTAAAGATATGCAAAAATTTTCATTTTAGATTTTTGAACAATTACTATAACTCATCCCACGAGAAGTGAAATTTTTTTATTATATTGAAACATTTATGGAATTGCTTTTCAATAACACAGTCTACTACAAGGATGAGCAACCTTTTTAATTCCTGGGCCGCATTTAAATTCTAAAATTTTGTAGCGGGCCGCACTTATCAATAGTTTACAATGCTTAATATATACTAATAAACATAAAAAAAAATAATACAAATTAATGAAATTAATATTAGTAATTAATGAAACAAGAAAAGAATATATTTAAGAAAAGAAAAAATTATGTATGTAAATAACTCGTCTAAAAGTTAAAAAATTGTTTAATAAATCAGTATATTTATTTTGAGTGATTTTTTCTGCTCTTATTAATGATCGTCATTTAATCAAATAAATTTAAAATTTTAATTTTAAATCTATGATTATGCTAATGTAGCACTACAAAAACATATATACTACATAATAATATGCGTGATTTTTTATATTTGATGGTGTCTTATTTATAATGTTTACTAAAAATAATAAGCCTAATTTGCGCAGTAATACACAAGTAAAATCGTTTCATGAAATTGATTTATATTACAAATTTGTATATACATTATATAAAACTAAGGCATTTAAACTAGTAATTTAATAACTATTATAGTCGTAATTAATTTTTTTTCAAAAATGGTAATTACAATATTTAATATAAATATCTTACTCAACAATAAATACTTTTTAAATATCATTTTGCTTATAATGTATTATTAACAAAAAGTTTTCCATAAATCAAGGCACCGTAACTGGTATAAAACGGCTTGGGTCGCCTACCTTAGGATCAAATCTAATTACAACTTTGTCTTTTCCATCCTCTCCGACTTCAAGGAATGAATTCCAGTCTGCAAGGAAATATAATCCATTCTTCCTTGGTGGCGGCAACTCTTCGTCTATCGTCGAAGGATCGATAGGAGCACCAAATGATTCTTCTAATGCCAAGAGGTCTGGTTTTGCTGTTGTCGTGGTAGTTGTCGTTGTGGTAGGCGTAGAATTGACAACTTTTGGTTCACTCTCAGATTGTTCGCTCAGTTGATCGCCAGATTTATTATTGCTTAATAGATCAACTTTAAATATTTCTTCGGTGCTATTAGGTTGCTGGCGCTTTATTTCATTTTTATTCCAATCTACATTGTATCTGTCAGAAAGTGGATTTGGTCCTGATGATAATTTAGAACGATCTCTACTTCCTATACCTAGGGCTTCCAATTTGTCAGCTATAGAATCTAAATCCTCGTTAGTTAATGTGGTATTGATATTTTCTAATTGTTTTACAGCTTCTAACAGTTGAGTTAGTTTTTCCAAACTTATTCTTGTTGTATTTGCCGGGCTGAAAACATTTTTATTTGTTGGCTTGCGAGGAGCAGTAGTAGTAGTAGTAGTAGTAGTAGTAGTACTAATCAGTTTACGATTTACACGATTCTGGGATAAAGGCGATTTTGGTAGCAAGCCAAAATCAGAAAGAAAACTTTGCATGTCTTTAGATAAATTTAGATCAACTTTAGGTAATGGTCGGAATTTTGCATACGTCTCTGGCCTCACGCTGGCTACGATCAATTTTTCGAATGATTGTGTGGTAAACGATGTTTTTGGCAATTCTGTTATTGGTTGCGGTGTTACTGTAATAATTTCTTCAACATGTTCTACAATTGTTTTCTTAGATGTGGGCGGACTTGATTTATATAAGACTGGTTTGAATCTGACATAGTTGTCTGGGTTGATAGTTGGGACAGAAAATGGTCTGCCTGTGGATTCGATCTGAGGTTTAGATTTCACAGTTGAAGTAACATATACTGGTGCATTTCTAATAGTCGTTGAATCTTCAAACTTATCTTCATCTGAATATTTATGATTACTATGTCTAGTATCAGGGCCAGCATCATAATATCTAATACTTCCTCGTCCAGAAGCTGGTGCAATAATTCTAACTTGATCCTGATTCTTCATGACGCCTCTGATTCCTAAATTGACATTAACATTGAGTTCATCTCTAGTTTTCTTATCCTCGAACGAACTGCTGGTAAGATCAGATAATTTTTCAATATCTATATGAAATTGGTCGTCTTTATTTGTAGTAGGCACTTCTTGTGGTTTCGGTGTTGTCTGTTTTACATTATTTTTAGTAATATCTGTAAATTCGGTGATGTAGTCATCAGACTCTTGTGGAATATTATAATTGTTACTGTTGCTATTGACAGGATTCAATTCTTCGTTATGACTCTCATAACTTTCAAAATCGTTACTATTCTGAACATATGCAGAGGTAGATTGCTCAGTCGGTTTTGTACTGTCTGGTAAAACAACGTATACGCCTTTATTATCTGTAGTTTCAGGAATAGATGTTACTTCATCATGTGAAATGTTATCGTTATTTTTATTCTCGTCTAATAGCACTACGCGTGTATTCGCCTCATTCACTTTTTTATTAGTCTTCTTGATATTTCTATCAACAATTCCGAATGTTTCCAAAATAATCTTTTCGTCACTATCATCATTCTTGGGATATTCGGTCAATTTATCAAGTTTTTTGTGGACCGTTCCACGTTTATCCAGGTTTTCAAAAGTAGGAATTGCCGTTGTAGGAACTAAATCAATTTTTGTAGTTGGTACAACTTGCTTCTCCACTTTTTCAGCACGTGTGACATTATCAAACAGTGCTAGAATTTCCGTTCTTGTTAATCGGGGCAATGAAGGATCTTCGGCAAGGAGTCTTTGGACTTCTTCGACCGTGTCATTTACGTCGTCATCGGAGAATTCTGATCGCAAACCGTCGGGGATGTCGTCGTAGGTCAATGCGTTGACGGCGTAAACTTCGTTGCGGGCCAATCGCCTGTGCAATGGTGAAACACTTTCGGGATAAGAACGGCCTTCGACAATCGAGGCGAAAGTTATAATCGGCAGTATCAGGCAGAGATAATTTATCGGTTTCTGGAATGGATTAAATTAGTGTTAACTATCAAATATAATTATATTTCTATTATCAGTAAATTATGTATTTATCATTGATTATCTACGAATTGGTTATCTACGAATGTTTATCTACGAATCATTATTTTTACATTTTTAGTGCACTATATGCTTTGGATATTTGTTTAAAAAGGTTAATTTAACTTTTTGGGGACTGCCACCTGAGTGGACAATCATACTCTGTGAGACACAGGCTATTTTATAAACAATGACTCAGTTTGCATCGAAAAGTTAAATAAATTACCTATAGCAGTGATAAACAGTGTTGTATTTTGAAAATAATTTTAATTTAGTAGTATTTTTAGCCTTTTTCTTTGCTATATAGTCTTTTTTTAATATTTAAAACGACCGAGCACTTTTAAATATGGCAAAACGACTGGTAAATTTTGCGAATTAAGCAGTAGTGAAGATGAGTTTCAAATAGACATTCATACAGACGATTCTCCTTCAATAATCAAGTTTGACATACATCAACAAACACCCCGATAACAAATACCAAGCAATATAGGGCATCCAATAGATTATTTTACTTTATATTTTACAAATGAATTTTTAGACAATATAATAGTAAAACCACAGCACAAAAATAAACAAATATACTGACTAATCAGTGGCATGTTCTAAATGCGAGAGAAAGAAAAAGGGATTGTATTGTCTGTTCTGACGGAAAAGTACTAGGGGAAGACGGCGAACAACATTTTATTGTGAAACATGTCAAAATCATCCAGCTATGCATTTTGAAAATTGTTTTGAACGTCACCGTCTTTATAAAATGATCAAAAATAAATTAATATTATAAATGTATGTCCTTCAATGATCCTTCAAATTTTTATCAAACAAATTGCATAACATACACAATGAAATCAAGTTACAGCCGGTACAGTAGATTGTTTTGAAATCGGTGCCGTCCCGTAAGTGTTAATAATAGCGATTTGATCATTTGTTGACAATGTTTCAGAGAAACGTGGATTAATTTAAATTTTATTTAAAAATTGAATTCATATTTTTTTGATAATAATTTAAAAAAAAACAAGTTCTCAAAATTCGAAACAAATCAGGTACTAGTTCTACAGAAAAAGATGCATTATTTAACATTTTCAGAAAAGGCTAGATCAATTAAAGAAATTCAAAAACAATAGACAACTGCCAAGGTTGAAATGAATAAAACCATTATATACCTTTCAGAATGTTTTAAAATTTAATGTTGGCAAAGAAATTGCATCAATAAAGTGGAGAAACGAGAAATTGAAAAAATTGAGTTCTATCTAATATAACTTTGGGAAAACCTGTAGTACAAAGACAGAAATTAGTGAAGAAAAAGGTCCTGTAATAGAATATGGAATAAATAAGTAGTAATAATAACAAACACACATCCATTTTTTCTGGGGTATGCCAAGATGTTCAGAAACCTCTAAAACGTGAAAAAAATTTATTTTCAATTTTCAGCCCATTACTATAACGTAATGGATTAAATACATAGTAAATTCGTAACAATTGTATTTGGTAATACATATACATATATATATATATATATATATATATATATATATATATAATTATCTAATACTTATAATTATCTAAATCAAATTAGTTATCAATTATATAAATATTTAGAAATTTTAATTATTTATATATATATGCGTAAAAAAGCAAAAAATGTTTCTAATTACACATAAATATCAAATATTATACACAGTTGCAAAACAGAAATGCATTATATTATATAATTTATAAATTCGTGTCAATTAACATATATACATAATATAGAGGCCAATGAAAAAAATACTAATATTAGATATTATGATGCAATATTTCATTAGCATCGAAGTTCAAGCACTTTCACTTGACCCATCATCATCAAGTTTAATAACAATGGTGGGCAACCTGTCAACAGTTGTAAACAGAAAAATGCAAATCATTCGATTTTAATAATATTACTTACAATCATCAAATTATGCAACAATATTTTTTTTAATTTTTCATGCAACCCAATTGATAAAAATATAATGAACTATAATGACATCAAAGCGCAAATGCTGTGCTTATTATATCGGTTGGGATACCTACTTGAGCCCTAAATATTATATGAGTTCTATAATTTATATTTAAAATATCATAAATAACATTTATGATATGATTTACTATATATAACATTACTATAAATAACATTATGAGGAATATAAAACGTTTATACCGAAATGTAAATTCTGGCAGATTATTACATAAATCTAAATCACGAGTCCCAAATGATTCGTATCAAATAGTTTTCTGAAATCAATTTAGTTTATTTAGTAAGAAAATATTGCAAAAAATTCAAGCTTCGACTGTCAACTGAATCGATGTTTCCGTTAATAATTAGTCAATGCACTTTCCAATTGACTAATCATCAGAGTGGTTTTTACATTTTTAAATCCGGACCAGGATGTACTGATGAAACTAATGTTTTGCAATGTAACTAATGAAGAATTAGCATGACTATTATTTTCTCAAATTATCGAAACAATTGTATATTATTTTAAAACATGGTTTGAGAAGTTTTGAAGAAATTCTTTTTTAATTTTTTTTTTTTTATTTTTGAACAACAATCAGAACCAGATAGTCCTATAAGCTGTTGTGCTGATTTGACTTAATACTAGTATGTTTGACAGATGGCAACCCAATCAGTTGTCACATCTCTTTATGATATATATTATTATTACAATTTCTGTAATAGGGCGAGTATTTTTATTGATGCAGCAATGCCGGGTGAGGGCTATTTTCACTTGGAAACATATTACTATCTATATTTCCAAGTGAAAATCCTTGCCACTGCTGCCTGACAACAGATTGCTCGAAGTGGGTATCGAACCCGTGACCTCTGATTCAGGTCCCATCGCTCTTAATCGCTTACCTACGCGCGAGCCCTGAAGAAAATTTAGACAAAAGTTTAAATCGGCACAAATCACACATATAAACAGAATCTTTAAATAAATATTTTTGAAATTTGACAATTGCAAATGTGATAGGTACCTACCATCATCTTTTTATTAAAAACTCTAATGTTTATTGATATTAAATCATTCTATCAGTTAGATAAGATATTGACAGATCACAAAATTTATTTTACCAAGAATTCCCGATGACCAAGCAAAAAAATATTTATGCAACGAACATCACGAGCTATACTATTCTTCTATGTTGTAATAGACTACCATCATCGTATGAATATAAGGAATAGTTAATATTATGCCGGTAGGTGTATCATTACAGGTAAATTTGAATCCCGTTCAAAGAATAACGGATACCTTTCACTAACTAACCAAAGATGCACAGGTCAAACTTCCAGTTAGAAAGTAACTTGTTCCATGAGATCAAACGGAATTGGATATTCTTTGCAACTGAACAAGAAGATGAGTTCACATCCGAGAGAATGGCGATAACCTTTAGGAGTCCTTTTAAAACAAGAAAGAAACTAGTGGTGCATGGCATCGTGCCTTAAGGCAAATTTCTGGAAAATACCTGATAATTTGATGTTCATATGTCTAATGATCATTTTAGACCACCAAATATATTTTTTTTTATATTTTTCTCTGTATCTCCAAAACCGCTAGACTGGCCTACTCAAAAATTTTCTTCATTTCGCCAATACGAATAAAATATTTTTTGAATCGTTCTAATCGGTTGATTCATGCACCCGAAATCGTGGACAAAAAATTATATCCAAAAATATATACATACACACACATACATCCATTTTTTCTTAGGTATGCCAAAATATTCAAAAACCTTTGAAACGTAAAGATATGCAAAAATGTTCATTTTCGATTTTTTTGCGATTACTATAACTTACCCTCAAGGAAGTTAATAATTGCTCCAAAAGAAAAAAACTGTTTTTCTGTTTGTTTGGTAAAATAGAAAACTGCTTGTTCAGTATTTTGTTAAAAAAGCTACGAGAAAATAGTAAAAAAAAATTTAATTATGTGTAAACCTTTTAAGAGTATGAAAAACTATTCTATGGATGAAATTAATTTCATATTGAGAATTTGATCGTATAAAATATTTACAAATTTTTGGTCTCATTTTAGTCTGTCTCATTTTAAAACTAAAAAAAATTGTTTGAAGTTTTAATATTATTAAAAGATTATCAAAATCTTTCCTATAGGAATTTAAAAATGATTTATTTAATTTTAATTTGTGTTTACTGTTAATAGATATTGCTCATTATTTTTATTTATCTTATACATATTATATTTTATTATTAAATTTCCAAAAATAGATTTATATTTTTTCCAGAAAATCCAATTATCCATGCTAAGTTTTCAAGTTATTAAGTTCGACATTTCAAGTCATTCTGCAATGTTTGACTCTAAACTTGGCAAAATTTGATATATTAAGAACCATTGTTTATAATTTAGTAGCTACCAGCTAAATTTTTTCGTCCACTATTTAGTCAAAAATCTAGAACCGATAAACTTAAAAATTGTTGAAATTCAACAGTTGAAAATCGTGTTGATTAGGTTTTGATACACATATCGAGACGTTTTTGTAGCTTTCCTTAAGGCAAAATGCTAAACACACCACATTTATTATATTTTATTATATTATTTAAATGTTCCTGAGTCCGAACCCCGCTGCCGACAACCTGACATCGTGCAGCAGCGATGTCCATTTTAACGCTTGAAAATGTAGATCAAAAATATGTTTCTAATTGAAAATAGCCTATTTCGCGCACTGCGCTGTGAAATGGCAATGGGAAATCTTTCACACTATTCTTCTCTGACTTGAGTTAGAGTTTAACACATGGACCTGCCCTAGGGCAGTACTACCCATTACTTATTATATGACTTAAAGTATACGAGTAATGATTAAGATTTATTACAAAACTATAATCGCTAATTTTGCTAACTGATATATTTATTAAATAATTTATCGTCCTTACATTGCTTTTCTTATATAACTTATAATTGTTTAACCATTAACTT